ATAATCGAAGGTTCGAATATTTTCGATTTCGAATAATCGAAGGTTCGAATATTTTCGATTTCGAATAATCGAAGGTTCGAATATTTTCGATTTCGAATAATCGAAGTTCGATTATGTTCGATTTCGAGTAATCGAATTTCGATTATTCGAATTTTAATCGAAATCGGTGCATGCCTAGTATAGAGTAACATCGTCTCTTTTAACGGTGGGATCAGAACATCCATTCAAAAGTTCTTTTGTTCTCTTGGATTAGCTTCTCTTTTGTTTGGTTCATTTGCAGTTTCCATGATTTTTTTCTGTCATAAACTTTATACGCACTTGTAACTTGTGTAGAAAGAATATACAAAGATTATAGATCATATTCGTTGAAAAGGGGATGTCGGTAAAGTGAATTATAGTACCATGAATGAGACATACTCTCTTTTGTTAAAAAGTTCATCTAATCGGACCCCTCCTAGCCAGTTTATTCACATGCGTTTTTATCTTTGACGTTTTTGATGACGTCACGCCTTTATTCATGTTTCATAGTGACAAAACCTCCTGAGAAACTATGAAACAGAAAATAGAAAGTGCACTTGAAACTAGTTGATCAGTAACGCTTCCAATACTCTTACACTATGCCCAAGCGTCAAAAAAAAATCTAGTATCGCCCGATTCATCTAAATTACTAGATTTTTACTCGACTGCAACTATTGGGTAACAATAGTGAAAATCTAATTAGTCATTGGGCGATTAATAAATTTGTTCTAGTTGCAACTATCAATTTATCGCCCGATAATCTATCGATTTAACTATTGCTAGATGCAGATGCAGACGCATCTAGTTAAGCGACCACGCTCATCGTCGTAGCGATGTTCGTTTTTCCCCAACTACAACTCCAGAAAGTCAATTTAGTAAAAAGCCGGTTTTGCGCCTGCTACCGTCAAAAAATTAAAAACCCATATATTTCACTCATTTCTCATCTAGAACGACTGAAATTTTCAGGGAATGATTAGCAGAGATCATAGAATGTAGATCGAGTTGAAAAGATCTGATCTGAGCTTCTGAAATTTCAAGCTTTTTGGACGAGAAATGAGTGAAATATACTGTTCTTAATTTTTGACGGTAACAGGCGAAAAACCGGCTTTTCACCAAACTGGCTTTTCTGGAGTTGTCGTTGGGTGGGTGAATGTCAGATGTGGTTTTAAAAAAAAAACGGTAAACTTTCCAATTTTACCCCGAATGATACACCACGCTAAACCTGATTGGGAGCCCTGATTTTTCCATGGATATACCTCCCTGATCCCCTCTTTGGAACGGTGTAAACTCCGGGTCTCTATCACCTTTCGTTCAAAAGTTATAAGCATTTTGTTCAATCTTCTTCGTTTTAAATTTCGATAATAAAAAATTACTAAAAGACCACCGCATTAGTACTAAAGATCAGTACTAACGTTAGTAAATTACTGATGTTAGTACTAAAATAGTACCCATGCCATCTGTTTTCATGGAAAAACCGCGATTAACCGCGGTTCGTCGAATAAACGCCAATTGACCACGGTTCGCTATAAACCATCAATTAATAGCAGTTAACCGGCGACATTTCTGATACCGCTGTTTGAAAAAAACCGTCAATTAACCGCGGTTAACCGAGCATTTTGCGCCGGTTCGCGACTAATTGCGGTTAACCGGACGGCTAACTGAGTTTAGTTGGCGGTTTTTTGCCGGTTTGATAAACATAGGTAAGATGTTTTATTAGTACTCGTTGCATTACTTACGATGAGTACAAAAGTTAGTCGTTAAATCGTTTAGTACTTGCACTGGAGCAACTATCTTCTAGTTTTAGCTTGAAAAATTCTGAAAACAAAATAACTAACCGTGTATACGCTGTGCTCCAGATAATATTTCGGCTCCTCTTATGAACATATCGTCACTGTTTGGATATTTCTATAGAATAAAAATTAATCAGATAATAGATATGTATATATACATTACAGAGAAGCTTACTGGATTACGAGGATCTGGCATCGTATAAAATGGTCGAATAGCCAGTGGATATTTGTCTAACATATAAAAATCTGTATGATACTAAAATTGTAGAGAATAAGAGATTTTAGATAATAATTGCTTCGATTATCACATTTTTACTTTTACTTTCACTAATTTTCCTAGAAAATTTTCATTTGTAGTTGACAGCCCTTCTTCATCGCCCATTTCAATACCATTTTCATGTAAAATTGTAATAGCACCCTTGTATTCTAATCTTAGACTATAACAACCACGAAAAATAATACTTAGTTGCAAAACAAAAAAATGCCTTTGAGATTATCTAATTATAAAAATATGTTATCGGGCGATATCGGGTTGTGGTAGCTAGCTATTCATACCATTTTTATTGGGCTAGCTAGCTATATCGGGTAGGATAGCTAGCGACTAGATATCGTACCCGATATATCGGGTTGACAAAAACACTGATCAGAGTAGCTATTTAGTCGATATATTGTGGACAGTGTCTGATGCCTGAGCCACCAGCTATGAAACTAGACATACTGCCCGATTATTGCCCGGTATATTGACTCATGTATTGGCAGCATGAAGTATGCTGTCTACATTGCACCCCGAAATGTCTGTATACAGACATCTTGCTTTCTGTAATATATTTACGGAAAGCAATATTCCCCAATATATTAGTCTACTATTGCCGTATATATTGACTTGATATGAATAAAAACTTTGTAAATTTGTGAAGTATATGTGCTACATTTATAGGTACAGTAACTACAAAACAAAAAGGTGAGTAATCCGATCGTCGATATATCGTGTCATATGTTGGGCTAGCTGGCTATACGATTAATGTATATATACATATCTATTATCTGATTAA